TCAAGCACAAGTTTCATGTGTGGGTCATATTCCATTATACTTTTAGAATTAGCTGAGGGCCAATTAAAATGGACCCAGGGCCACAGTTTGGACACCCCTGCCTTAAAGTAACGCGAGTAACGAGATCATTTCGTGCTAAGTAACTGTAATGTGATTACTGCTGTTGTCAATAGAACCACGTTACATTAAACGTTACAGACAAAAATGTAATCTGCGTTACTTGTAGCACATTACCCCCAACACTGATTGTACCACACATGTATTATATCTGGCTTTCATCAGGTCTTGATTTTTGCACAAAGCGTCTCTCTGTAAATTCACAGAGCAGTACAGTACCTTCTCTTCTCCCACAGCAGCACCCTCATCCTCCCCACTGTGGTGGTCCCCCCGCTCCAGAGCATCCAGCAGGTTGGCGGGCCTCCTCTGACTCTCCTGCAGCTCACACTCATACTCCACACAGATCCTGGCCATCCCAGCGGCTCCAGAGTGGTCATCTGATCAGAGAGCAGACGCCAGAGGAGTATCAGGTCAGTGAAGGACTCACCTTTCCACTGGGGGTTTTAAGCAGCTCTGCCTTTATCTCTGTACTCACTCAGTCTCCTCCTCTTCAGGCTGGGGAGGTGGGCGTCCAGCACCTTGGCCTTCTGGGTGATGGAGCTTTGGGATGGTGAGCAGGAAGTGGAGCAGGAGGACAGAGGGGCTGATAGACACACTGCCTCACAGCTCTCTGCTGCACCCTTCTTCTCTGCCACAGGCCTCTGGCACAGTCAAACACAGACAGTCAATATAAGCTGACAAACTGCATTGGACTCCACTCAGAGTACGTATATATACATGTGCTGTGATATCACACAGTGGCAGTGGGGTAGAGTCTATCTACGTGGAATGATAAATAATAATAATAATAATAATAATAATAATACATTTGATTTATATAGCACACTTTAAAGACAACGTCATCTCAAGGTGCTTCACAAAGCTATAAGTAGAAACTAATAAAATAAATAAAATATATCTAAAAAGGAGCATATTGAATAAAATATGGTAATATAAAAAATAAAAGGTTTGATGATGGCAGCCATGACAGCCACACAGGTACTGCTTTCACCTTGTGACTCTGCGGGTTAGTATGTTTGTGTGTGTCTGTGGACACATCTTCGAGTGTGACAGCTTTGCAACCATACATGACGCACACAACTTTACAGCTGTATTATTGAGACCAAAATTAGGGGGGGTGGGGAGGGGATATTGTAATAATAATGTGAGTAGTCCATTAAGCTTGGGTATGAGAAGTCAAATTTGAGATTCTACTTTACGAGTAATCTCCTGTTGCAGTAGTAAATAATTGATCACTACTACGCTAATGCATTTTTGCTGTGGTTGCTATAGCAACAGAATTTAAAGCAGGATTTGAAATGGATTTGACATGGATTTGTATTTGAGGATTTTACCTACAATATCCTGATTTCTGGAAACACACATTGCTATTATTCTTTATGAATATATAAGTACATATTGTTTATGCTTTCATCCCCTAAATACAAACAGAAGTTAGTGAGTTACAGTGTACTGCACTCACATCAGACATCACAAAGCTTTTAAATGTAAGACCAACAAAGTCAATGCAAGCAATGGTAGCATCCTTGTTAACTGAAGACTGAGAAACCTACCAGTTTCTGGGCCACCCTGAAGAACTGGGACAGGTCTCGGATCACATTCCCAAAGCTGCTGTACACACGCACGTAAGGCCTGACCCAGGAGGGAAGCTGGGCCCGTGCATTAGAGCTTTTAAACCTGTGGGGAAGGTCAAGTTATTCTATATCATGTCCCTCACACCAAACATGGGCTCGGCTACAATCAAGCTAGGATTTCTGCTAAATTTCTATTTGAGGGGTCAACCCCAGGATCGTGAAAGTGAAGCAGCTGAATAGAAGTCAGCGATGATTTATTTCATTGTTTACACCTCTGTCATGAACCATGAGCGTTATAGTTATGGGGTTTGTCTCTCTACTGCTTCTCACTGTAAGTGAAACATTGGTGACATCACAGTACTGTAGCATAAATAATGTATGAGACCGCAGGACTCTGTGGATCAGGCAGCTGCACAGATGGACTTCAGACAGCGGACATATCTGCTGTCTGGCCTCCTAGTGTCAACTATAATTAAATATATATCCAATTACTAGACAGCGCCTGCCATGCCAAATATTTAAATTTTTTGATCAAAATATCAGGTCAGGAAATTGGTGATCTTAGGCAATTATTATTTTAAAAACTGTGGCTGAATTGTTGACCCTGTGTTTGGGTTAGGGTCTGACCAACAGCGGAAAACCAACATACTGTATGTAGTGTACAGGGAAAGCAGGAAACCATCACAACTGAAAAGAGCAAACTAGTTAATGTTTGGCATTTTAACAAAATATTTCTTGATCTGCAGATTTCTTTTTCTTTTGATCAATCATCTAAATTAATGTTTTAGGTGTGAAGATCGACTGTGTTAAGTGATGTGTGTCTGACCTCTGATCACACAGCAGGATGGCTCCGTAGTCGTCCTTGTGGCGAATGACTCTGCCAATGGCCTGGTTCACAGCTCTGAAAGCCTGCTGGCTGTACCACTCCTGCCCAGACAGGTACTGACACACACACACACACACACACACACACACACACACACACACACACACACACACACACACACACACACACACACACACACACACACACACACACAGTACTCTTCTAATATCAGAGTCCACATGATAACAAAGGTATCCCAACTGTAGCTGTGATTACCTAGAAGAGCATCAGGACTGTTTTAGGCTTACTTCTATTACTGCTTTGAACCGGTATTTCTGCATCTTGTGACTGTAACACTCTCTTGTATAAAAGCATGTGAAGGACACTGTTCTGGAAACTATTTGTCCCATGCAACCTGTATGTGATGACTACTTCCATTCTTGCAAGGATGATAAATACATGTATCCTGATATTGAAATTCAAGCCGGTGACGAGTAATATTTTTCTAACACTCACCTTCACCCCAGGAGCTTTCTTTCGACACATCTCATCCAGGAACTGCATCTTCAGGACGACTCGAGGGTCCATCCTCGGGGGGAAAGGAAGGCCAGTGATGACCACACCCCGACCAAAGGTGTCTGCAAAATCCAGACCCTCACTCGCCTGGCACAGGAACACATTTACAGACATGGTGTGCGTAGGGTGACCAGGTGTCCTGCTTTGTGCTGGACTGCACATCATTTGATCAATTCCCCCATATCCCACAAATTGAGACAACGTCCCTAATTTGATTGACAGTTGCCCTTTTAAAACTTGGTTTTTTAGCCTCATTGCCACTACTGTGAACCCATAAATGTTGTTGTTGACCTTGAATGGATTCAGCATCCTCAATAACAACAGAACCACTCCAAAACTGTCCAAATCATTCAAATATTTGTTTTACTATTGGCGACATAAACTAAAATGCTAATTATAGCATAATATCCGCAAATTATACCAATTGCCCAACAAATGCAGGTTAGCATCCGGCAGTTTCTATGTGCTGGGGAGTGGAGACCCTACTATACATTTCTATCATAACACTTTAGGGTCCTCAACATGTCCAGGTTCACAACAGGACTCCATGAGCTGGCGAACAGAGTATTCATCCAGTGGCTGTTTAGAAAGCAACAGAGGGCAACGCACCATTAGCTGTGATGTCAATCAATCAACACATTTTGGAAATATGTTCAACTATTGGAGGGCGATTCCCAGAGAGTTTTTAATTACGTTTTTTTCAATCACACATGCAGGTGAACACAATGTAATTCAACTCACATATTGCAAAAAAATCCATTCAAACCAGATAAATGTAAGTCTTTCACTTGCACTGTTTGTGCAAACTGTCCTGTGCATCGCAGTAACATGTCCTAAATTGTCCCTCACAAACATACTCTTTGTCCCACATGTGGCCTGTTGGCACCTGGTCACCCTAGGTGTGAGAGGGAAGCGTTTGTGTATACTTACTATATGTGATATGATGAAAATTACTCTAAAATAAATCCATGTCAATATATAGGAATCTGTGCCTGACATATTTCTTTCAGAAATGAAAGGACTAGTGTTTATTATTAAAGCGGATTTATTGTCATTAACCATAGGTTACGATTTTAAAGTTTGTAGAAGACCATGGTACATTTATGTCAATATAAACTTTATTTTATGAATAATGTGAATGTACCTGTCCGACCTTTAGAAGACTAAAAGGATAAACTGTATTTTTCAAATCATTTCAGAACTTTTCCAGCTCTCCGGACTCATTGGCCTCACCTTTCCTCGACACACAGCGAAAAAGCTTCCCCCTTTGGATGATGGATCATTGACTTTGTTGTAATATCCGTCCATAACCTGAGAATAGTAGGAGAGAAGAGATCAGCCCTCAAACTGACAGACCTGTAAAGAAATCTGTCAGGACCAGCTCAGGGGAAGTTGCTGCTTCTTCAAGGTTTCTTTGAGGAACCCTAGAAATACTCCTCTGAATATTTCATTAAAGCACACTCACCTCATTAAAGGTGCCCTTTCCTCTAGGTTCAACAAACATGGGCTTTACAGTCTCAATGCGATCTGCATGTCCGTTAGCCTGGGGGGGCACACACACTGAACATGATCCCACAAGGAAACACTCATTTCAGCTCTAACAATTAAATCAACAAATATAATAACAGTGAGAGGATGTTCTGAATTCCCACATACTCTCCAGAAGTCCAGGGTTTTTTCCATCACAGAGAAGGATGGAAAGAACACCAGGAGGCCATGAGGAACCACTCGGCTCAGGTTAGCTGAGGAGAGAACACATCATGTGAGGATGAGGAATCCCATACTACGGGCACAAATACAAATGATGGGATTGCTATTATTTCTTTTTAAATAATATGTACTGTTTAGAGACATGCAAACAAGGATGGTGCTTAATAAATGTTGCCTATAGTGCTTAATCTTACCAACTGTTTTGCCTAAAGATGACATGTTTTCAGGAATAAATCTGTCAAGGAATAAAAAAGAATTCATTTTATTTAGGTCACATTGTTCCAACAAGAAAGTCAATTATCTGTAGAGTAACATTAATCACAGGAGCTACAGGAATAAAAACTGGATCTTGTGTCAGATTCAAGATTCAAAGGCTTTATTGTCATATGCACAGCTACAGTGTAGATATGCAATGAACAGCTTAAGTCCAGAGCTCCTCCAATAATGCAACATAATATATATAGGACATAAAACAATAAAATAAATTTTGAAAGATGATTAAAATAGTGCAAGAAGAGTAGAATAGAATAGTGCAGGTTATGTTGCAGACCAAGTAATGCAGGTGAAGATAAAGTAAACTATATACATGTGATGTCAGGAAAGTAAATAATGACAATAAGCCAAATAATGCAGAGAGTGTTGTAAGTGACCAAGTACATGCAGGAGTCCGTCCATACACATGTAAATAGAATAAGATATGGAGACCCGCCATGGCTGCCTGCTGCTGTCCTACCTGAGAGACGCAGGAGGAAGACAAAGCGAGGGTCCCAGGCCGGGCTCCTAGTAAGGCTGAGGAAACGTGAAAACCGACCCCCTCTTCCGAGTATTCTTCTGGCTCAATCGATTGGAAAATAAGCTAGATGAACTCAGAAGCAGGATTGCTTTTCAACGGGACATTAAGAACTGTAACGTGTTCATTTTCACGGAGACTTGGCTCAACTCCGCCATTGTTCCTGACGGCTTCTCTATATTTCGCCAGGATCGGACTGCTAATTCAGAGAGAAGCAAGGGAGGTGGTGTGTGCGTCATGATAAACAATGACTGGTGCACAGATGTGGAGATTATTTATTTCGGACTGTTCCCCTCATTTAGAGCACCTCATGATCACATACTGGGCTTTTCATTTGCCAAGAGAATTTTCATCTGTTGTGATAACAGCAGTGTACATTCCGCCACACGCTGACAACAACACAGCACTGGGCGAGCTGTTTGGAGTGATTGGCAGGACGGAGACTTCACGGCCAGAGGCGGCGTTCGTTGTGGCCGGGGATTTAACACCGCCAATATGAAGAAAGTTCTGCCGCGATACTTTCAACACATCAGCTGCCCGACGCGCGGCGGAAATACACTGGACCATGTTTCTTCCCCTTTCCGACACTGATATAAAGCTCTCCCTCGCCCTCCATTCGACAAATCAGAGTACATCTCTCTGCTGCTGCCGCTGCTGCTGCTGCTGCTGCCTGCTTACAAGCAGAAACTGAAACGGGACAGACCGGACTGTACAGCGCTGGAGTGAGGAGTCAGACTCAGCTCTGCAGCACTGCTTCGAAGCTACGGACTGGAGTGTGTTTGAGGACAACAATATCAACACTGACACGGACACGGTCATCTGCTACATTGGGAAATGCATCGATGACGTGGTACCGAAGGTTAATGTACGAATATTCCCAAATCAAAAGCCCTGGATAAACGGCGAGGTGCGTACCAAGCTGGAAGCGCTCACAGAGCTGGAGATTTGGAGGAGTACAGGAAATCTAAGTATGATCTCCGGAGAGCAATCAGCAGTGCAAAGAGACAATACAGAGACAAGGTGGAATCTGACTTCAAAGGCTGTAACACCCGGAACATGTGGGCAGGACTAAGAACAATGACAGACTACAAAGGAGCATATGGGTGCTGCGGGAGTGTCTGCGTGCGCATCTCTCCTAGATGAGCTGAACTGTTTTTTTGCACGATTTGAGAGCAGCCATCATTACCTGTGTTCGAGTCCGAGTCCAAGTCACCCAAGAAGAGTCCAAGTCAAGTCCGAGTCACAAGTATTCATGTATTCATCTTAGAGGATATATTTGTTGAAATTTAGCTTTAGCTCCTCTACATTGCTTTTATACCTGTCATGTTATACTAATGTGTCTATTGAACT